GATTTTTCTAATCCAATATGATGCTAAAAATATTATGCGCTTATTGAATGACCTAATAATGTCAATTTGATTGTTTAAAAAAATTTTGACCAATTTTCAACCACCTCATCTACGTTGATATCACTTTAAGCCTCTACCACTAGATGGAGAGTATCAATATCTGTATATCTGCTAGTGGCAGAGTAAAAATAATTGTACATAAGTCAAATCAATCGTCCTATCTGTATAAGTCGTTCGGAAGTTTTTGATATGGACTAACAAGGAGACCTTCTCACCTTCGGGTCATGGATTTGCTCCAAAAATTTTTTGGGGTCTCCTGGTACCCTATACTGAAGCTCTCTGTGCTTAGTTTGATCTCATGTGCCTTAGGGCCCATTTTTTAGAGGATTTTCCACATTATAAAAACATCTTTGTTACTTTCTATATCGATATAGAAGTACTTGAACGAAAAAGTGCAACGATAAAAAGTTTTTTAATTTTTCAAAGAATCTGCTTGAATTTTTTCAGAATTTTGGGGACCATCTGCCACTCTCTTTAAGAAGTCCTAAAATATATAAAAAAAGCGTGCAATTTGGACCTCTTGAATTAAGTGATAGATGGTCCCAAAAATTCTGAAAAAATTCAAGCAGATTCTTTGCAAAATTAAAAAACTTTTTATCGTTGCACGTTTTCGTTTAAGTACTTCTATATCGATATAGAAAATAACAAAGATGTTTTTATAATGTGGAAAATCCTCTAAAAAATGGGCCCTAAGGCCCATGAGATCAAACTAAGCACAGAGAGCTTCAGTATAGGGTACCAGGAGACCCCAAAAAATGTTTGGAGCAAATCCATGACCCGAAGGTGAGAAGGTCTCCTTGTAAGTTATTTGGAATTGTTTTCACGTTTTAGTATTAATACAATTCATTTTCGTAAAATGCGGGTGAGAATTTCTACTCTCCTAATTTATAATGTTTGTACTTTTTATGTAAAAAAAAAAAGAAAAAGAAAAAGAGGATTTGTACAGAGTACAGGTAAATTCATCAAATAGCTATAATATGCAGAAACCGTCATTATAATACACACATAGCAAGAAAATGTTCTCGTACCCCGGTGCGTACATACAAAGGTAAATGCAGTATTCTACAAGTTGAAGTCTGAAAGGGAATCGACAAGCCAGCGTAGTATTTTTCGCTCGTTTCGCGTGTATCTCGTTGCCCCACGATTGTTTCAACACCCCATATTTAAGTATAGGCTACTGGCAAAAACACTTACCAATACTGCGTTTACATTTATACATGAAACTAGGGTGTAAGTTAGATACTGCATAGAGATAAATAATATTGCAACCGAAAGCCACCCTAATAATTTGTATCGGTATCGCAGTATTATTATTCGATTTATGCCTCCATTACTACTTTTTATCCACTATTGCAGCGAATATAATTATTTTTATCATCTGTATTCTAACAAATAGATATTTTTTCAATTTTAGTAGCTGCACGCGAATCAAATCCAACAAATTTATGAAACTGTTCGGTCGAGTATACCGAACAGAATTGTTTTATCAAAATTGCACTATAATCGCAGATAATAAACTCAAAAGTTAAAATGTTGACATCGAGATCGTGTGAAACGACTCAAAAGCGCGAGTCTGATAAGCTCGCAGCTATTCATAATATAATGTGACACGGACGAACGTTTTGGTGAATTTATGGGACTATTTTACATAAACATACGTATATTTTTGTGTACGTCCAGCCGCGTGGAATTATATCTTTTGCTCGTACGTATGCTCCTACGTGGTTTTTCAAAAAGAAAAGTTGAAAATGTTCAATAAATTATTTTCTCCTGATTATTATTCACGAGAAAAGTTGCGAATTATGTGGCTCATGATAAACAGAAACAAATTATTCAATTTGTCATAATCTAAGCGCGGAGGCTATTGTATAAATACGTAGCATATAAGCGACACCTCTAAAAGTTAGCAACATTAAATATTCTTTTTAAAACCCCCTGAAGGTAACATAAAACTTAACGACTTTTTAAAAAATGCAAACATTACTTGTTCTTTACACGCGCTTTCCGAGCGAGCTGTGCGCGCCACGCTGCCACTGCCACTGCTGCTGCTGCTGCGTATGGGGCGCGCCCCGAGAAACGAAACGAGTAAAATGAGAGTACAATATCCACTTTACGTACGCGATTATCCATTAAAAAAAAAGGAGCCTCGAGAATGAGATATGTGCGTATGAAAACCATACTCGCGCCGAGAGCGAAGTTAATGAAAGTTTAATTCCTAAAAGTGCTAAAGGAAACGAGGATAACCCGGCTGGCGTTTCGTCTAAAGTCACCGCGCGCGTACACACGCAGCCACACACACACGCGCGCACGTGGATATTCACAGACTAACGGCAAGCTGGGATAAGGGACAGAGAAAAAGAGCAAGGAGCTTAAGCGAAGTACAAAGGCTTGATATGTTTTTTAGATTTACGCGAGGTGACATCGCGATGCGAGAAGGATCGCTGCTTTACTCTATTGCTACACGTATATATGAACCGCGTACAAACAGCACTGGATGAAAGAAAAACTTCAAGGTTTTCTTTTTAAAATTTCAAACGATCCCTTTAGTACACAGCCGTAATTTTTACGCATTTTCTACTAGCGTATGCGCTACGTCGCCGCGTTTTTCCACCGTTGCTCTCATAATTTTTTCTTACGCGCTAGTTATCGTTTCAAATTATTACATTTTTGCACTGACAGCTCGTAATAATCATCGATTAAAAAAGCCAATTTTCCCTGCCGTTATATAGGGAGTGCGTGGCGTACACGCGGAAGTATCATCGCGCCATCACGCACCGTTATTGTTGTTTTTTATCAAGTTCCAGTTTCAGAAAGCTAGGAATAATAGGTAAAATACGAGTTAGTGAAAGAACATTGTATGCATGCGGAGTGCGTCGCGCTGTTTGGAGGGTTAAGTTTTAACGAGTTGAATGTAAAAGCCGCTTTATGCCATTCAACGCGTTCAGCAGCAGTAGTAGTGGTAGTAGTTACACTAGTAACTGCTACAAAAAGGACCGTGCGGTAGAAAGGGAGAATTCCGAATGTAGCGCAGTGTGTAAACAAGCGCCTGTATATGGGAATAAACTGTTAATGTGTGCGAGTGCACATGCGTGTGTGTTGGTTGTGCGGATGGGATGGGGTAGGAGGGTGTGGTGCGGATATGCGACTGCACGACTGCTGTATGTAGTCGACTCGAATGAACCGCAAAAAGCGCCCATTCAGGCGAAGCACTGCGGGGTCGCTTTTTTGGGAGCTTTTATCAGTTGACGATCTTCCGTGAGACGCCGTTAAGATTAAATCGAACGATTACGTCGAGCGTGAAAAGCTGCAGAGAGAGAGAGAGCTGCAGCTCAAGTTTGCTTGTCAACACCCTTCAGTCCGACGATCTTTTTTCTGCCGAAAACCACGTTCCGTAAAGTACAGTGTATATAGCTAGGTTCACGGCGTACACCGCAAAGAGCCTAAATACTTAAGCAGTCGCAGGTTAAATTGACGATATTCCGGTTTAAGAGTCGGAGAATGGACGCTCGGCAGAGACATTCATTTGGGGATACTCTTTGATTACGATGTATATAATTGACGCATTTCGCCGAGTACAAAACAAAAGTCTCTCTCTCTCTCCCTCTCAATAAGCCCTGACGAAGATGGAGTTGCGCGCGCGCGAGAGCGACTCTCTATTCATACAGCGGGGCTGAGGGGATGAGGTTCACACGGGCGCTAGAGTTAACTTCCTCTCAGCACGTCTCGTCGCTACTTGCCTTCTCTCTCTCTCTCTCTCTCTCTCTCTCTCTCTCTTCTTCACCTCACGCACACACTATACACACTGACGCATACACACACACATCTATACGTACGTATACAGAAATAGCTCTTGCTCGTTCTCTTTCTCTCCGTCGTTTTCTCTATACATCGGAAGTACGATGGTTAGACAACAGGGGGATAGACCGAAGTGAGCGAGAGACTGCTTAATTCGTAAGCTCGCCTTGGTCGTTTACGTTAGTACTTAAAGGGGTTGTACCGCCTCAAGCGTTGACTTTAACTCTCGGGCTATATATAGTAAGCAAGGCGTCCAAGTCTGGCTTCAACCAAACAGCTGGTCTCTCTCTCGCTCTAACTCTTTTATTTCTTGCTCATTCTGTCGATTCTGTCCAATACAGCCTCGCTCACGAACGTGTATCTTATATCTACACCTTTACGTACGTACCATTGACTATCCGCTATCTGAGTAGGCAGCGAGCAGCGGATTTTGAACCCGTCCCGGCAGATACTAATGCTTTCGAAGCTGAACGCTAACTTTTGGGGATTATACACACGAATTCCATGCTATATACGCACTGCAACCTATCGTGGACTTAGCGCATGATCCAATTCTGTCGACATACCTCCACATTGCCTTTTTGTGTTCACTCGCAGCATAAGTTCATTCGATAGATATATCTGTGTACATTACATGGCTGGTTTATTGACAATTGTAAGTGTGAAAAGAATAAATGACCGGTAAAAAAGTGAGCTCAACCCGGAAGATTCTGAACCGGCTCTTGCTGCCACTGTTGCTACGTAAGGATAGTATGAAAAAAATTGACATAAGGAAATTCCATCATAAGCCTTGTTATGAGATCCAAGGCCGCGTGAGCACATTTTCTTAGCAAAGTTTATGCTCAACTGCGCGTCTTATGGAGGATGAATTTTTTTATACAGATTACATTATATCATAGCTCTAGGAGCCTCGAGTGCTTCTAATGGGACAAATCCCATTTAAATTTCGATAAAAAAAAAGATATACACAGTTTGATGAGCATTTTTGTCTGAATGTTTTACAACGACTCTTTCTTCACTATTTTTTGCCTCTCCAAATTATTAAATATTTGACTAGTTATACAGAATAAAAAAAAATTACTTTCAAAATGTAAACAATTTTTATATCCTAAAAAATTCATTTTGTTATTTTATTATCATTACAGGACGTCCTGAGCCAACAGTGAGATGGTACATAAACGGAAAACTCAAAGATGATGAATCTTACGAACGTACAGCTGGCGACGTTATAGAAAAAAAGTGAGTTTTAATACACCACTTTACAGCATAGCGTAACATGTTGCATACAATGTTTTATAGCGCGAAAGCCTGAAATTAGCGTCAAAGTTGCGATTTTTAGCTTATAGTGCTATGAATAACTTTTTTTACATTTCTCGTGCATAACCATAATTTACTTTTATTTTTATAGGTTAACGGTAAAATCGCTAAATAGATCGCATCTCTTTTCCAATTTTACCTGTCAAGCACAGAATACTCATCTTGTAGAACCAAAGCAGGTGTATGTCATCCTCGATTTAAACCGTAAGTTATTCAATAATTACTTCCAGTCATTGTATTTAATATCTAGGTAACTCGAGTGTAACCCATGACGTGAAAGTAACATTTGAAATAATTATCAGAGTTACTTAGTATGTCTCTCAACAAATATTATGCAAAAATTATTATTTGAAGTTTCATTTATGCTAGTTTAAAATTCAAAGAATCTTGATACAAACTTTTATTATTCATTTGGCATTAGATAATAAATTAATATTTTTGTGTAATATAATTTTTATCGGGTACTCTAGGCATTATAATATAAATGGCCTACTCTCTTTACCACAGATATTTTTATAACATTTTTTAATAAAAAAGAAGCGAAAAACGGGTTTAATGAAAAATTCAAAAAGCATTATTTATACTTTTAATTGATATATAATATAACTTCTACAAATATAGCAGTTTTTAAAGGCCACTTCACGTTTTCATTACATTTTTATGTGTCAGTGAACTTTTTTATTAACTACCATAAATTATAAAAAAAATTGAATATACTTTCATGCACCAAAGATCAAATGCAATCTGCTATTAATTAACCTTCCTGTTCCGTTCATTTAGTCCATGAAAGAAATTTTATTTGCTGCTGAAATAATAAATGAGTATTTTACATGCCAAAAATCATATTTTATTAAAGTTCTATATTTTATCGCATATAGGTTATTCGATTTGACAAAATCCAAAAGTGGTTGTATATCCGTGACATTTATGTATGCTATATATGTTCCATTTGACGAGGGGTTGGTCAGAAAACAGTGACTAATTTTTTACCCCTCTATTTTTGCTTCATTAAATATCGTACATTCTTGGAAGTATCTTTATGAATGAATAACCCCGATTCTTTCAGACATTAAGAGTCAACATACATTATGCGATTTTAACCATCTGGGTTGTTACTGTCCCAATTTCTGGTATTTATCAAATTAGTATCAGTATAATTAAAATGAATTCATAATTATATTTTCAAATTAATACGATTACAATAATAATCGTTCAAAGTACACTTCAATATATCTGTGCCAATTATCAAATCCCTTATATTATATTTGAATTAAAAATAAAATTACAACCGAATTTGCGAAAGAAAGAAAATTTTTAAATTTAAACTTATTATACTTTTTTTGAATAATATATCATCGATTTATTATATACTTTAAACTTCTTTTTTACAGTCAAGCCATTAACTGTTAAAATAAGGAAAAATATTGGGCAAGGTGTTGAAGGCGAATCTTTAAAAGCAGGCGAACGTTACGAGGTTGAATGTGAAACAACTGGATCACGACCACCTGCTGTCATAACGTGGTACAAAGGAAAAAGACATCTGAAACGTGTCAAGGTGAGCAAAAAAATTTTTATGTTTGATAGCTGCGATATTGATAGCTGAATTTCATGTCATGGGATGTGTAGAGAGATGAAAAAAACAATTTACCATTTAATAACAAATATTTTCATTATATTATGAAAAGTTAATTGATAAATTCGTTGGTATTTTGAAATAAGTCTTTTATTAAACCGTTAAGAGACCAAGCTCATAAAGTATACTTTTGTGATAAAGCAATTCATAGGTGAACCCATAAAAAAGTTATCGAGTTTGCGAAAGTGCACTCTTTATCGCATCTCATCTGGAAACCTTGTGGCTGCATCGTTATCTCGTTATAGTTTTTCCTAGACTTTCTTAATGTAGGGTGTAAACTTATTCTTCTATCGACCTAATTATAAAATTTTTCGAGCAAAAAACGTGTAGCAAAGACGGCCAAAGCTTCGAATTGGGCAGTAATACCAGCATTTTTCCGAACCATTTTCGATGCGAGAATTCGTAACTTACGAGGTTAACAGCACCTGCAGCGGGAGTGGCAGCTTTAGCTCCTGTGGGATACGATAACCATCGCAGTGTGAGCGCACAATCTCTCTCGCGAGATTCACTTCTTGGCTGGAAAGAAAGAGACAAGAAGGAAAAAGACCGCGTGAAATGATGGGATGAAAAGAGTGCGAGCTAGAGAAGAGAGTGAAAAAAAGGGATAAAATAGCAAATGCAAAATATTTTACCGGAAATAACCTCGCGAATGGATCCAAGAAAGTAAAATATGACGAGAAAATTATTAACAGAGATATTTTCTCTTCTTATTTATTTAGTCAAATCGATAAAGTCAAAACACAATTTCTCTAAAGTTAGATTTTGAAAATCCTTTAAAAACAATAAAATAAATAAAAAATATAATGGATGTCAAATATAAGAGTTAAATTTTGCAGAATAACATAAAAAGCCTGAATCCTTTCTGTCTCCTAGAAAGTTCTGTATGATAATTACTACTTGGTGGTTGAAAAACCCTTACTCCAGTCCCAAGCTATTTTTCTTCTTTACTGTACCCCATTTACTATAGAAAGCAAACTAATATTAATAATCGAAAGTTATGATCAGATGTCATGAACATGCGAATTAATAATACAGATATAAAAAAGCTAAATGTTTATGAAATTGGGTGACTAAATTATAAAATGGTTAACAAAAAAAGAATTTTTCCAAAATTGTATGAAAATTAAAAGGACACAGTTTTTGTTCCACGCAACATATGTAAAGATTTTTTTATTAAACCCTTGATTATACAAGGTATGTAGATATGAACATTCAACTTTACACAGATTTTATGATTTTACGACCCATAGAATAGTACAGCAGATATGTTACAGTACATTCAGAATAATAAAAATGTACGTAGACATTCCCATTTACTGGCGTATTGGTCGATACCTAACGAGCTCAAAATAAAATTATTAAGAGGCTCGAGATTACGATTGAATAAAAAAGGATTAAAAAAAGGAAAAAAAAATATTCTTCATAGTGAAGGAAAAAACACATTACAAGCACGAATAGAAAGAGAGGAAAAAAAATTGTTCTCATACTCCGTCAGTGTATTACTAGTTCTGTACATTCATGTAAGCTTCATTCGATATTATCGATTAATCTCCTCACGCTTGGCAAACGCATCACGTAGTATCGAGTATGCATTAGTGTATTAAGCATTCCCTCTGTATTCCATGCGCAGATAAGCTCGACTTGCTTGCACTGTGCGCGCACGAGGCGCGGCGAGCTTGACGAAGCAGAAAGTTATTTCCTCTTGCTGCTGCTGCTGCTGCTGCTGCTCTGCCTCTACCTTTGGGAGCTAGGGAGTAAGAGAGAGAGAGAGAGCAATGCGCACAACTATATCCATTGCTTGCAGTATTACTTTTATAAGTGAGGGAAAACGTTGCAGTTGCCTTAACTGTGCAGCGCGCAGCCAGAGATAATTATTCGAATCTTTGGCTCCGAGCTTGCAACGAAATCGAAAATTTACACTTCTCTTTCTCGAACTAAAACTTGCCTCTTCTCACGTAGCTTTATCCCAAGGAATACTTGAAGCGCGGCTCGTCTGCAAAATGCTTGATCCACGAGAATGTGCGTAAGTACGCCGTGTAAGTGTAAATCTGTCGGTGACTGTGTGTCGGTGAGTTAGCGCGCGGAGAGGGAAAATGTCACAACAACTTGACTCGCTATCGCGTCTTGCAACTTTTATGCTGCCGTTACATTTCCTTTTTCGTTTTTCTTTTTTCTATATCTATTTACAGTGCCACACCAAATGCTGGATTTTCGTCTTGACGATCCGCGACGACGATAGGAATGGTGACGGCAGCTCGAAAAAACAAAACGCGTGCGAGATAAGGATACGTGCCGGGCCTTGCCGATGAGTCATGTGGAGAGAAGAGTCTTGTATAAAAGAGATTTTTCAAGAAACGGAAGAGCCAAGCCCATATTCGTATTTTTTGAGCCTCGAATATTTTCTTTGCATACCGTCTTCCTGGGAATTCATAGAGCATACGAGGCATGCACTTTTCCACGCAATTTTTTCCTAGCTTCATTATTCCTTACTTTAGTTTTTAGAGTTTTAGATAAAAAACAGAAATATTATTTACTCATTAATAGATTTTCTACTATATAATATGCTAGTACTAGCTGTAACCTTCCTATTTTGGTATTGGATTAATTTTTACTTGATATTCATTGAAAGGCAGACGTTAATTAATTTTTTGACAGAGTTTAATAATTGGAAATTGAAATAACTCACAAAAAACTTGGAGCTGTATATATACGTATATATGAGAGCACAGAATATTATTTTCTTAATTTTAAAATCTACCTCTGGCTGGCTGAGAAAATCATTTATCTATAGAAAGAGTGAGTGAGAGAAGTAGAGAGTGGAAGAGATAAAACTTAATCCCCACTGCAAGATATCTTTTTGAAATATGTAGCGCGCAATTTTACACGCCCAGACAGGACAGCCATGTAATTAAAAATACAGCCTGACTATTTCTAGGCCTTACTACTACTTACTGAGCTGGCAGATGCTCCTTCGACCTAACGAAGCATCTTTTTTATCCTACTACACGCACCTGTGCGCGAAAGAGTACGGCATTAATGAGGAGAACTCAGCGAGCGAAGAGAGTGAGGATGTTTACATCCTCGCACACACGCGCGTGCACGTATACGAACAGAATTTTTAATAGGCCTGGCTTTCGTACTCGAGAGATCATCTATTCGAAAATTGTAAAAAACAGCATTAAAAAATTCGGATTTTGTTGAAGAAATTAATTGATCCGGAAATACTTCTGTTAATGTACTTGAATAATAAAAACAATTAAACTAATTGTTATTTTTTTATAACAATCCCTGTTTCGGCAAATCTCGTTGATCCTTGTATAAGAAATATCATCTCTTGCGCTAGGATAGTTATTTCAAAAGAAAAGTACGAATCCATTTTCTTGCTTTTTATTCAAGTTTCTAGGGCTTACTATCTACTAGCAGAGATTTATATATTGATCACTATAGAAATAACCATTGCCAGGTGCTAAACTTAACGCGCTGCGTCAGCTATGCAATCACAATGTACGTATAGCTATAGCAAGACTGAGAAAATGAGAGATAGACAGAGAAATAGAAAGAGAGAAGGAGCGGAGAGCCGCGAATATTAGCTTGAACAGGTGTGTATGTGGTCTATTCGCGAGTGTGTGTGCGCGCGAGTGCACAGCCGAGAAAGAGAGAAGCTGAGCGAAGAAGAGAAAATGAATAAAGAAAGAAGACAGATATTAACATAAGCAGATCTTGTAACTGGCGGATCACGTAGAGCAATTTTACCGCATTACCATTCTGATTATCCTCTGCAAGCATCCACTCTTATAGTCTCAGACGTAACTCGAGGCAACGCCGTCGTAGTCGTCGTCGTCTTCGTCGTCGTTGTCGTCGTCAGCATCGTCGTTTTTCTCTCCCTCTACTCGGCTTTCCACACGCGGTATCTCATAAACTCTTGCTCATTCCCTTAGTTATACCTTTCTCATTTTACTATAACGGATGCATTCACATACATACATGGCCGATTCTTTGCGAAATCAAATGGTTAAGAAAAATATTTGGCTGGCATCATTAGAAGCCATACATGTCCCCAAATTTGATTAACATTTTTTAAACTATCAAATACTCTTTTTGGAAGGCCCAAAGTTGACATTTTTTCAGAATCCATGATTATGTGATAAATCCCTAACAAAGGATTTTTACAGTCTAAAAATTTTCAGAGTTTCGGTACAATGTGTCGAGTAACTTCAAACTTGATTTAATTTTGACTTGTACCTTTCTCTTTGTGATGGCAAGCTTTTGAAGTGTTCAAACTATCGTAGCCTATTTTTCTCAGTTCAAACAACTTTTAATAAAAAAACACGTTTTTTATCATTCAGACAGGACTGAGCTAGGAATTTTTTTTTTATAATTAGGGATAACTGAAAATGAGACATACGATTTCGCATAGAATCGACCATATATTATGACTGCTCTCGGCAGTAGTTGCGCGCGTGCGCCTCGTGCAGTTTTTCCTTTACTGTAAACACGCACACGCGGGTGCGTCACTTGCTACAGGTGTAGTATTACATTCTTTTCCGCGTCGCTACTTCAACAAAGTAGATGCTTTATCTTGGTTTTGTACGTTTGCGCCAGCGAAAGAGCGCTTCCTTTTCAGGTTACAATATTTTCCTCTTTGATTCTTAAGACGAAAAGAGAACGGGAGCAAAACCTGCGCGTGCACTGTATTTCTTTCTCAATTTCATTTTTTCCCCCTGTTTATATGCATATCTGCATCAACATCCTGTGCATACAGCGAGGCCATTGATGACACTTGAATTGCTTTGATTTGCCTCTGCTTGCATGATTATTAGAGAAAAGTCAAAGATGATGAAAGTGAAGCTGTTTAATATATAATTCTCTATTTTGTTTTATCTATCACCAAACAATTTTAAATTTTAGCTAGACAAAATACAATTATTGAAAATTCATTTTGAAATCTAAGCTTAACTAAATAATAACTTGAAGATTATAATAATCATTTGAACTCATGTGGCGTTTTAAAAGTTAAAAAAAACCTAAAAACTTAATGATCATTTTCTGTAATAAACTTTATAACTTTTTTATACATTCCGTAAAATTTCATAAATATTTTCATTAAGTATCAACATTTAATAAAATTTTTATGCAACCAAAGACTCATAAAACGCTGTAAACTTTATTTTTAAAATTATTTAGTTGCTTTTTCATACTCGGGATGTTTGGAAAAAATGTAGTATGCCGCGCACGCATTGTTCGTCATAATACCCATTCCTCGTTGTATTTTTTCCCATAATTATTTAATTAATTTGCATGTTATTATTTTTTTTTGCACCAAACGAGACGCCTGAGCTGAGTAACACAAGTAGTTTAATAAAAAAAAAAAAAAAACTAGCAGCGTATCTCAATTAAAAGCTCAGGCTCCAATTACCCGAAAGTACTTGAAACGAACGAAAGGAAAAAACTTGAAAAACAAAAGTAGCAAACCATTACAACCGCAGACCAATGATTTCTCTTCGAGACGAGTGGCGCGTCGAAATCTAAACTCGCCCGGTGTACATTCACGCGTGCTGCAGGTAGATATAAGCTCTCGGCCCGCCCACCCAGCCGTCAGATAAATTGCAAATGTTTAACAATCAGCGACGTAAACGTGACTCTGCCGCTCGCAGCGCTCGTCTCTATAGATACAAAACAAAGCAGATTTTTATATAGAAAACTGCAACAGTGCAATTCGCGCGCATTCACTGACCTAGGCTGCTGCATCATTTTTTATTTCTCTTTTTTTTCCAACGAGCTCTATACACGGCTGTTACTGCTACAACTAAAACTACTACTTCTACTACTAACCCTACTAATACTACTACTACTACTACTACTAGTACTGCTTATTCTTTTTATTTCATGAAATTTAATTAACGTACGATGCAATTAAGGTCGTTACACGCTTCTACAGTTATTTTTCATTTCTCATTTGGCTCCCGCACGCGCAGCTTGCATTTCTTTTCGTTCATGCAGCAGGTAGAAGCAGCAGAGGCAGCAGCACTAACACATGCATAGCGCGCGCATACACGAACACGTATATTGAGTGCGTAGTCTAAACCCACACTTACTCGTTCCTTTCCTCCGGAGCAGTAAAAGTTTTTTCCTTTTTTTTCTTATTCTATCTCTATCTTGTGCTCCCTGAACTCTATACGTACCTGTCCTTTTAAATCAGGCTAAGAGATGGATACGTTCATCGTGGAAGCGTAGCGCACGAACGGCTGTAATGTAGCAGTAGCAGCAGCAGCAGCTGGTGGCCTCGTTGCTTACGGTCCGTCGACTGGCTGCCGCTGCTGCGGCTTCCTTTTATTATTGCTCGAAATTAAGAATATGGCAGACGAATGAGAAAAGGCAGTTACACTCGAAGAAAAAACGAAAGAGAAGGAACCGAGCGCAAACTCGAAGGCGGCAAAAGAAAGAGCGCAAAAAAAAGGATTTCGCGAATCTGCGCCAAATAATACCGACAGATTTGCGCGCGTTTGCTTCCTTTCGTCTGCTGGCTACGATTCAGTCTTTATAATTTGCGACAATGCTGTGTCGAGATTCTCTCTTTCTCTCTCTCTCTCTCTCTCTCTCTCTCTCTTGCGTAATATTTGTTTTTTCACCATTTTTCTTCGAGCATCTTCCTGCCGTACGCCGCGCCGTACTACAAAGAACACATTCAAACTTGTTGCGAGAATATAACGAAGAAATGAAATTTATACATTGATAATTGCACAAGAAATAAAAAGACATTTAAAAACGCGCTGAATAAATAACAAGATTTAGCTGCACTGCAGCGACAAGGTGTACTTTTAACCGTGTAAAAAATAAATGATAGAGGAAAATGAGCGAGGGAAAAAGTAAAGAAGAAAGAAGAAATGAGGGAAAGCTGATGTCAATCACAAACTTACAATACAAAATCAAAAATGTCGAATGAAGTTGAATGAATACCTTTGATGATTAGTAGTTTTTCTAAGACGCTTGAGTGCAAAGAGTTCATAATATAGATAGTATTTTTTCAATAAATTTGATAAACTGAAAAAGTTGAGATTTTTCACTTGTAAATTGAACTGAAGATTGCATAAACTCAAAAAAATTGCGTTCTTATTAATTTTATGTATCAAAATACTTGTTTACGAGGAAAAACTTACGATTATCCACATCATAAGGGACAACATAACGTTTTTTTCTATAGAAAGCAGATATTAAGTTGCGCAATGCATACTGTGATGCGATTGTGATAAAAGTCATATGATAAAGCTCCTGTAGTCCTGTGTTCTGTATCATAAACCTTCATTACGTAACGCTCTAGACTTATATGAAGGTAAAGTAAACCATCTAGTTAATGAATATACTATTGCTTTTCAAGATTTGATATCTAAAAAAATTCAATGACTGAGACTGAAATAAAACTAAACAGCTTATCGCATAGCTATAATTAAATTTTCAATGAATTAAAAATATTGAAAAATCAACCAATCACAATAAATGTATGTCCAAGAAACAATCTAGCCATTAATATTTCAAGAGTAGAATGTATTTTGTAAAATTATCAATGCGACTGCTGTAATTATTTCATTACCAACTAAAGCGCCAATAACTAGTTAAACTTCAACCCTTACATTACGTGTGTAACCTATTTCTTTGGTGTGAATTCAGACTTATACGCATGAGTAAGTAAATTTTTCTTCTGGATGAATGCAGTTTTCATTTAAAATTTCCGTGCAGTAAACGTATGAATGTCTACTACTAAGTACATTGTAATTTGCACTACATAACTGCTTATGGCAATTCCTATGGATAGAGGGGGCGGTATTACTAAGGCGCTATTGCAATCACGAGATAACCTCGCTATGTTAAACTATGGGCTTTCAGTTGCTAGTAAGTAAGGAATTAAATTCCTACAGTACACGAATATTTACAAATAACCTCAAATATTTGCTCGGAGCATATTGTGAAAATTCCCCGTGATTGGATATAATCAACGAAGTTATGGAAAGTTTAGGAAACATAATTAGGTACTTGATAACTTTTTTATAAATGTCATAATATTTATTATAGCGATCGTCTCATAAAACTTGATTATTCTTCAGTGTGAAAGAAGAATCATATGATGTTTGGTCAGAAGCAGAAGACTATATTTTCGATTCGAAGGACTCTTGCGAAATCAAAAACATTAAAACATTCAATTTTTGTCCAGCATCAGTGAGTTTAATGATTTAAGTTATCTTTTAATTTTTCACTACCAAAAACTATCAGTCAATCTCAATTTTAGGTAAATTTCGCAAATGAGGCTATGCAGTTTCAAAAAAAGTTAGGTGAAAACATTTTCGTTGATTTTGAGTGCAAAAATGTTAAACCAGAGCTAAAGTCTTCACCAACAATAAACTTCAAAACTGAGTTCCAAAATTATCCACCAAATGTGAAAATAGAAAATGAAAATCAAACCAATGAAATAAATGAAAATATATTCATTGATTATGAGAGCAAAAATGTTGAGCCTGGATTGAAGTCTTTACCAATAACCATCTGCAAAAAAATTCAAAACAAATTATCACATGAGTGCAAAAGGTGTCCCAAAACTTTCAATCGAAAAGCGAAATTAAATATGCACATCTATGCTACACATAAGGGCATTAAATTATATGAATGTGATATTTGTCACAAATCATTTGGATACAAACATAACCTTCAACGCCACATAATTTCAGTACATTATCGGAGCAAACCTTTCAAATGTGACATTTGCCATAAATCATTTGGACTCAAACATCATCTTCAACGGCACGTAAATGCAGTACACAATCTGAGCAAACCATTCGAGTGTGACACTAGTCACAAATCATTTGAACGAAAAAGTAATCTTGAAGTTCACATAAACGTAGTACACATTCGTAATAAACCCTTTGAATGTGACATTTGCCATAAATTTTTTGGATTCAAACATAGCCTCGAACGTCACATAAATGCAGTACATATTCGTAATAAACCCTTTGAATGTGACCTTTGCCACAAATCATTTGGATTCAAACATAGCCTCGAAAGTCACATAAATGCAGTACATATTCGTAATAAACCCTTTGAATGTGACATTTGCCATAAATCATATGGATTCAAACATATCCTCGAACGTCACATACATGCAGTACATAATCACATCAAGCCTTTCGATTGTAACATTTGTCTTAATTCATTTGCGTACCAGAGTCATCTCAAAAGGCACATAATGACGGTACATGATCGTAGCAAACCTTTCGAATGTGAAATTTGTCGCAAATCATTTGGACAAAAGAATAACCTCAAAAGTCATGTAAGTACAGTACATGAGTACAGTAAGAGTACAGTGAGAAAGTACTGTACATGAGTACAGTGAGAGCAAAACCGTCCATTGCGACATTTGTCACAAATCATTCGGATCCAAGAGTGAATTTAATAAATACGTATATTCCACACATGATCTCAACAAACCTTTTGAGTGTAACGTTTGTCATAAATCATTTAGACACAAATATAACCTTCAACGCCACATAATTTCATTACATAATCGGAGCAAACCTTTCAAATGTGACATTGGCCACAAATCATTTGGACTCAAACATCACCTTCAACGACATATAACAGTGTACATAATCGCAGCAAAGCCGTCAAATGTGACATTTATCACGAATGATATACTCGCAAAGACACTCTCAAACTTCACGGAATGATGGTACATAATCGAAGCAAACTTTAGGAATGTGACATTAGAAGAGGTCACGGGCCATTTGGACACAATGAAAATATGTAAAAGAAGATGTTTATGCTTTGTCACTTTGTAAAATCTTTCACGTAATTATACGTTACTTTTGGGAAGAATAATAAAATATTTTAAACTGTTATTCGTTTTGTTGGGACTGTAAATAACCTTATTTTTACCTTTCATACATAAATTAACATATCAACACATCAATTTTCAATCAACTATTCAAAGTGTTGCTGAACAGCAGATCATTCAAACAATTATCATTTGAACTTTTTTCCAAGTATCTGATCCCTATTGTTATGCAATCAGAAAATCCTTAAAGCAATAAAATAATTGTTCATCAACATCGCCTAATAAACCCGACAATTGATTTTCGCACATACTGAAAATGCAATGGCCAATAAAAAAGGTCTGAGAGAAATGAAAATTTAAATTACTGTAAATATTTCTTTACATATACTCCAAAAGCAGAATATAATTTGAAAAATGAAAATCACACTTGGACGTGAAATCTTAATATTTTCTACTAAATAATATCGCAATATAGTAAAAATATGTCTAATTAACTTTATAATATAATTAACTCGAATATCGAAATAGTTCTACTAATGATAGCATGGTTCCTTTTTTGTATATGGGTAATTCTTACGTTTCATAAATGTCAGAAAAATGTTTTAATTGAGATGCTTAAAAAATTTAAGCAAGATTATGAGGTTATGTTATTATACTAAAATAAAGTTAGTACGATATTAAAACGATTAGATAATTTTTAACGAATAAAAAAGTAAAATAACTTGTGCCATTTTATTACAGGAAGAGAAGAGCACGATCAATACAGAGAATCGTACGATCAGTAGGGTGGAATTCGAGCCAGGCGTGGATGACGATGGAAAATCGGTGACTTGCAGGGCGGAAAATCCAAACGTGACTGGACTGTTTCTAGAGACCTCCTGGCGGATCGACGTCGTGTGTGAGTAATTTCAGATTCTCTACGAACTAAATCCCCGTTTCGTGGCACAGGCTACGGTCAGCATCTTCTACCGGTCGTTCTTCGTCCAATTCCTTTAGCTTTTTCGTTTCTTTCTGTCCTCTCTCTCTCCGTCTTTCTCTCTCTTTGTCTATACGGAGACACACACGTACACACCAACACGTACCCAGCCAAAGTAAGTCTAGGCCGATTGCTTTTTTTTATGATCGCTACACGTCCTAACGCTGAGGACTCGACTTCGAACCAATCACTCGCAATTGCTTGTCAATCCTCATTCGCCATAAAGAGAGAAAAACTTTAGCTTCGTAAAAATAGAAAAGTCTACAAACGAATCAAAAAGCTAAAAGCATAGCTAAAATTTTAAAATGCACGAGCTTCAATATTTATGCCAAGCTTAAAGCAAAGTATATTAACGCGGATTATACATGATGGATGCGACACAGATAAAGTGGCTACTTAAGGCTCTCGTATAACGAATTACTACACATACTTCGCACTGTATTTTTTCGAGTTAACTGTGGATCTAACGATTTTTTTGGCATTTGGAAGCATCAGAGATTCAAAAAGTTACCGGGCTCGCAATCATAACAGGCTTACCAAACCGAGAATCCAGATCAATCACTCGATGAAATATCAGTTTGAAGACATAACAATTCGTTACTCTCCAGCATTAATTGAAAAGCTAACGCGCTGACAGAAAGAATGTCCGTCTATAAATTCAAATTTATTTAACGTTGCTCTCCATGCAAAAATAGAATATACCCAAGCTTTCTTTGTTGTTAGGTAAATTTTTCGTTCAATCTTTTACGGCGTAACCAGCAACAAAGGTCAATTATATACACGTGTATATAGATAAAAAAAATCAAGCTCATTGATGCTTTTGACGCATTGACGGGATCCATTTGATGAATTCTTTCGCTAGCAATACCAGCAGATGCTGTGCTTTATTCCTTTCCTATTTTTTTCCTAGTTTTTTTTTTGTTGTTTTTGCAATTCACGAACAATCCATAACCCTGAAAATTTTTCAACGATGCAAATGCACGCGCGATATTCTTTTTTATTTATTAACCGGTAGCGCTGGATGATGTGTGGTAAAAAAAAAAAGATTGATTTCGTTGTTAGGCGCGTGAAAAATACCAGAGGCGTAGAGAATATAAGAGCAGTTGACGCGCGCGCGCTTGTGGCTAGGCCTGTGTGAAAGCTCGAAGCTCGCACAGTGCGGATATAGCGGCAAAAAGGCTTGGGCCAAAGCAGTCCCCTTAGTGCGGCATTGACTGTCCACTGCTGGTGGTGCTGCTCGCGACGATATGCGTCCGCATCCGTCCGCTTTTATTGACCGAAGAAATTTATCACGAAACTACATTCATCCGCAGGCTCGTAAAACCTGCGCGTCTGGCATACCGTGCGATGCCACTATGGCTGAAAAGTTATGACTCAAACTTTCCCTGACGCTCTCTTTGTGCGATGGTTTGTTGGCTAGGCTGCGCAGATAGAAAGAGCGGCGAAAGAAAGAACAAGAGGGAGCGAGAGAAAGACAGGCGTTCGCGGAGAGGCAGCGATAGTGCGCCAGCACTATCCTATATCTATCGAACTCGATTTCAGGAAGAGAGAGAGGGAGGGATAGAGGGAGGGCTGCAGCTTTTTTGCTCGCCAATGACGATGAACTGCATATATAAGAAAAACGCTCAGTCGTAATAAGATTTGTCGTAAAAATGGATGGGCGTAAAGAAGTATATAAGGAATATTCTCCAATAGCGCCAACACGCGACTCTCTTTTTTCCTACCTCTCTCTCTCTCTCCTTTTCTTATACAATGCTCCCGGGGCAATTACCAGTCTATACGTACGAGGCGAAATTCAGCCGAACGATAATGGTTGCAATGATAAGACATCACTTGACTCGTTCGCGCGCTCGCACTCGTCGCCCCGGAATAGCTCGACAAAATATTAAGTCTCGTTTTGACGCCGTGAAATATCGACGACCATCAGCGTGGCTATAAGCTAACCATTGTTAAATTAATTCATCCACCTCATTCTCTTCTCTTTTTTTTACAGACGCGCCAATAGTGTCGTTGAGGCTTGGCTCGACTCTGAACGCCGAGGACATCAAAGAGGGCGACGATGTTTACTTCGAATGCCAGATTAAAGCCAATCCGCCCTGGTCGAAGCTCACTTGGATACACAACGTAAGTGTTGCATCGACAAATACCTCAACCTTTTTTAATTAATCGAGTCATGAAAGAATAATAAGAAAAACGGTCGAGAAAAAGAGAATTATAGTTTGAAAATGCAGCTGCGTAAGAGAATTTATAGAGATAAGCTTCGGTAATGAGCTCGAGTCATTTTCTCACGGTGAGCGGCAAGGCGCGCGCTGCTGCACCCTAGTGCCGAGCGTTTCTACAATGGACATGAATTATGCAGTATATTTCTTGCCCCGACCGGCGCGCAAGAAAAGTGTGTAGCTACTATATACATCCGAATGGTATGGAAGTTGTAGCAAGCGGCGAAACGTTGTTAAATATTCGGACTGTTAAGTAAATGACTTTTTCATCGTATCGTATTTATCAACTTTATAAATTTCTCATGAACGCATAAAAAGCGAATTTTCAATTTGAACAATTTGCCCCCCCCCCCTGGCTCGATGCAAGTGCGGAAGGAATAAAATCCATACACAAACACGTATTTTCGCTGAAATTGTTTCGCCCATATTAGTCAAATTTTTCTCCCATACTTACGAAAGGTATGGTAAATCTTATGCATGTATAAACATACTTTCTTTCGCTCGACTGCTTACGTACTCGCCTTACTTTTACAGTAGAAAAAAGAAAATCAGTTAAAGAAAACTTTTTTATGCTATACACATCCTCTCAGCAACTTTGCACTTGGTTCTGTGACGAGTTTTTCAGATCCCTTTCCACATATTTTACCTTTATTCATGTACTGCTAGGAATTATTGGTGTACATATGATAAATGTGTTTGCAAGTTTCCTCCTATATATCACTTTTACCAATAAGGAAGACTACGAGCTTTTTCATATTTATATGCAGATTGTACCTTTGAATGAATGCCTTTTTGTAGTAAAGAGAAAGACAATGCCAAGATAACAATGTAAATTTAAAATCCAATTTTGAGACCTTTACAACATCTCAATTATAATTATGAAAATTGTGACATTTAAACTTGCAATATATAATAAAAATCAAATGTTTGTCCTCTGTTAGATTTGTCATATTTATCCCAAGCTCCTTTACTTTCTCTTCGTCTAAAATTAGATAAAAGATGACGTTCGAGAAGCTCTTGGAATATCATTATATTTTCCTCATTACCAAGATAACCTAATGCTGTCGATATTTCACTAGTAAAGGAGTATTAAGCCACTGCTCTTCGATTTTTCGAGCAATAATAATGATTGGAAAGATAAATCAGGATTTAATGTAATATACGAGTCAAGTTTAAATATCTATTTATATTTGAGATCGAGCATTTTAAAGTGCTGCATTATTGGCTTCATGGTTGTATGGGTGTACATAGGTGCAATTGACACATGATATTCGCAGAGCGTCGAACGCATGCTCGCATATATATACGTGTATCCATCTACCCGATGCCAAGCCACAATCTCCTACTTTTCCCTTCCATTTTAATCGGCACTTCTCACGTCTAGACGCTCCATAATCGCAAGCCATTAGATAAGTATCGTGACATCGACAAATACCTACATGCACACACGTACAGACACACCCACACATACTCGCTCACACACACGCGCGCACACATTTGAGAGCGCAGGTAGCGATTATACTATTTCTGTTAAAATCGTAGGAATTACTTGGAAGGACGTTATATAAACGAGCACATACTGATAAGCTCGCTGAGTCGAGCATTTATAGGCAAAAGATATACACGCTAGTAATTACGATTGAAGCTGGATGTAGAGGAAAAGCGTCGATTCGACCCTGGCGCACCCAGCGTATATTCTACTTCGCATTCAAGCGCATTTTGGTCCAGGCTAGGTATGCCGTATACATTGGGGTGCTCATGCACTCTCGTGTACAGAGGCGTATATACCATAGCACTTATATATGGACAGCTCTATGTTAAGTCGAATGAGTAAACAATTTTTCCTTCGGATATGATAAACTTGTTGTTTTTTATGTCATACATGTCCTCAAATTATGTTAGCATATTTTAAGGACCATTCTGTTGTCATGTTACTGTAATTCATCGTTATCACTAAGACTAGAAGAATTCCTACCTCAGTCCTAGCGAACTTTAGGAAAAGGGAGCTTTTTTATTGCCAATTGCCTAAATTAAAAAGTAACTTCTCTTAAAATGTCTCGAATTTTTTGTGAAGACTCATTGCAAAAATTTATGAAGAATCTGTTGACATTCTAAGGAATTACGGTGAATTTTATGGTGATGAAAATCCTGATCGAACTCAATTAGATTTTGACTTTCACGCTTCTCTGTATAATGAAAAGCTGCCAAAATGATCAAATTCTTTAAATGTATTTTTTTCTACAAGTTAGAAAAATTTTCTCTTCTGTCTTTCCCTACATAAAAACGATCCCAAAAACTCTATACAACTAAAATTTAGGGGCACTTATGACATTGAAAACAACAAGTTATTCTTGCAAACGACAAAAAAAATTTTTGCTTATCGATTTTACATAGAACTGACCGTATATGTAGTATATATATGTATAGTAGATATATGTATATATGTTTACATCGCACCAGCTAAATTCCCTGGAGGATGCCCTCTTCTCTTTTATATACATATACACAGGAAAAACGCTTCAACATGCGGATAGTCGAAGCGCAACTCTTCTGCCTCTTCCAGCTCTTTCTCTCTCTCTTCCCATCTCTCTCTCTCTCTCTCTCTCTCTCTCTCTCTCTCTCTCCCGCAGAACCAATCGCATTCGGAAATCCCGGTGAGGCCTTAAAAAATCGTCAGAATCATCCTCGTCGATGTCCTCGCTCGCTGCTATTGCAGCTGCTCTGTTGTTATTGCTTCTCTATTCCTCCCCGACTGACTTCTACTCTATACGGTCTACGTAAAGATCGTAAAGAGTGTCGACGGAATTTTGTTATATCGTACTAAAAAAGAAAAGAAAAAGAAAACGCCCCAATTGAATGGAATAAGATGCCAAGTCGGACTAATTTTAGCAGGAAGTGAAATGGAAGCGGAATCGAGCACGGCACCACCACCGCCATAACGGGGTGTATTTGGGGTAGGTTTCACCTAACGTATTATATAATGTGCGCAACGAAAAAAAAATAAAAACGATAATAATAGAGAACGGGTGGATATAACAGCTATATTATATATCCACGCGGCTAAATAAACTCGAGCTCAGTAAAATGTTGCGACTGTGATCGTCGGTACACTACGTCGTCGTACAGCCCGAGGAGAAAACTTACCGACAAGCCAATTGTGAGAGCAGATTTTCATTATATACACCTACACGCGCTGCTCAGCTCGCCCATACCTCCCTGATTATATCTCGTTCGATCGCCCTTTTCAAGCCGAGGGATTTCAAAAGATGCTCAAGACCTTATAATTTCATCTAAGTGGATTGCTTTTTTTACATTTAATGCCGGCGCTGAACTTTCTATGAATTTTATATGTATAGGTGTTATACAGCGCAGCCGTAGTACGCAAGAAGGAAGAAAAAAGTTGCAAGCACGTGAGGAAACAACGCTAAGCTTTCAGTATCAGACTATAAACGGAAAATGAAAAAATCTGCACGAGATCGTTGTTCAAGGGAGAACAAAAAACGTACACTTATTCTAGTTTAAGGGCTCAAAGAGGGCATTCATTAATGATTATTTTTGATAAATTTGAATAAAATATTTTATTAAATTGTACGTGGAAGTAGTCAAAGTTGATCTTATGCTTAGCTTGAGGTTGCGTTGATGGATAATGATCCATCAAAGAAAATGAAAACCACATACAACTAAATTGTGTCAAACACTTGGAATTTTACGGCAAACAGCTTAGATATCCCAAATGCTTATCGCTGAAGGTTTATAGACTTATACCAGTTAATTTAAGTGTTTGTAAGTATTTAACTGGACAAAGTACTTTCAAATGGGGTATTGAAAAAGGCCCTTATGCCTGTTTTCTGAAAAAAATTTTTTTTTCACATTTTCTGCTTAATACTATAAATAGAAATATATAATTATTTAAACCCCCTATGAACCGTTAAGCCATTGATGTAATCGTGTGATATCTATGATGTTATCCAACTAGATAATTCAGATAGTGCTTTTCGTCATTATTTTTTTTTCTTTCATAAATCGGATAGAGTCAGTTCCATAAAATAAATATCAATAATTATTATAATTTGATTAATAAGAGGATAAAGATTTTGTTGAAGATGAGACGTCCAATCATTAAAATGTACAACATTATATCGCAGCTGAAGTTTTCACAGAAGCGTTAATGCGACATTTCGAGCAGTTGACAAAAAGCCTACGGAGCCAACTATAGCCGAGAGCTCGCTGCAGCTGAGGCCGCAAAGGCAATGTCGAGGTTCGCTGGGCTTTTGTTGCAGGCCACACATGAATAGGCGGCGGCCTCTGGTAATTCGAGCGTTGATGAAGAGATACATATCTTGAAACTAATCCAGTTATACGTTTCTATGTGCGTCGGCGCGCGCTTCCAAACGTTTCCCCAGCATTTTCATAGTCCCATTTTCGAGTGATGAGGTAAAGGGTAGGCTAAAGGTATATATATACGTATAGCTGCAGCTGCGACTGCGTCCGACCCGAGGCACCTTGAAGATTGCTCGTTTGCATATATAAGCTTAAACCCCCGCAAGGCCTCTGCGCGCCTCGCAGCTGTATTACCCTCAGCAGCAGCTATATATACGTATATATATGTACGTATAGAATAACGGAGAGTCGCGCGAGGAACGCGAGGCAGCTCTCCATGTACGCGCAGTAGTGGGTAGCAGTCGAGAACTCATACGTATATATAGTGGAGAAGCGATGTCGAAGTAGCGATGGTGCAATGGCAGCAAATCCTTGGGAGATTCGATCTGGCTCGAGCTGCTCGAGAGCGAGCACGTGCACGTGCTCATATACATGTGTGAGCTTGCAAAGCTCGCGAGCGCGCGCTCGGATCTCGAGCAGCTCGAGTGTCTGTGTGTGTGTGTGTGTGTGTGTGTGTGTGTGTGT